AATAATTAAAAACCTTCAATTTTTGTTTTATCTCTCTCCCCTTTATTTTTTTTTTTTTATCATCCGGACCAGTTCGTTCTCTCTTTCTCTCTCCCTCTCTTTCTCAAAATAAAAAAGTCGGCATTCATTTTCGCTCAAACTGGACACTTTAATTCACGAAATGGCAACTCGAGCGCTTCGCATCTCGTAAATATCCCGGATGAAGCTGCATATTAGCCGGCGATGCGAGGGAGCTGCTTCTGTGATCCTGAGGGGCGGGGGGGGGGGGAGCGCCCCGCTTGTATGGGAGGGCGGGGGGGGTGAGGGCTGTGTGTCGCTTATATGCTGTTCATTACTGTGAGTGTCTTCAGACTCTGTGTTTATATATATATATATATATATATATATATATATATATATATATATATATATATATATATATATACATATATATATATAATATATATATATATATATATATATATATATTATATATTATATATATATATATATATATATATATATATATATATATATATATATGTATGTGTACATATATATATATGTGTGTGTGTGTGTGTTATATATATGTGTACATATATATGTATATATGTACATATCATATATATATATATATATATATTATATATTATGTATGTATGTATATGTATATATATATATATATATATATATATATATATATATATATATATATATATATATATATATATATATATATATATATATAATATATATATATATATATATATATATATATATATATATATATATATATATATACAATATATATATAAATATATATATATATATAATATATTATATATATATATATAATATATATTTATATATATATGTGTGGTGAGTGTAATGCCGCGGCCGGTGCATTGTGCTGTATGTGTTGTTCCGTATATTTTTTTTATTTATCAATACTTAAAAAAAACACATACCAATTAATTTGAAAAAAAAATAATTTATTGACAAGCGGTTCGCCGCGGCCGGAATCCTCGCGAAGCCTCCACGTAGACGAGGAAAATGTACTTGAAAATATTAATTGAAACATCCCGGATTAAAGGCAGTAAGGAGAGTGTATATCGGTCTCGTCAGTATTCGTTAGACCGCTGCCAGATGTGCAAGGATTTCATGGCGGAAGGGGAAAGGAAACACTTTTTTTTTATTTTTTATTAGTGATCAGTCTTGTTGGTACTGTATGATTTTTTTTATCGAAATTATTTGTTTTACTTTCTTCTGCTTGGTTGTATGAATTTTTCTTGTTTTATTATGGACACTAATTCTTTCCCATTTCGTACAGGTTTCTTCCTCTTTTTATTACGTGTGTGTGTGTGTGAGTGTGTGTGTGTGTGTGTGTTGTGTGTGTGTGTGTGTGTGTGTGTGTGTGTGTGTGTGTGTGTGTGGTGTGTGTGTGTGTGTGTGTGCGTGTATGTGTGTGTGTTTTTTTATAGAAAAAATCACTCTAGTGTGTTGATGAAATGGTAGAAAAATCCACAAAGCAAAACACTCTTCTCCCCTTCAGACTTGAAGATGGAAATCAGGAAGATTTCGAAACTGTTGGCTCAATTTCAGCAACTCTAGTTTGTGCATATTGTTTTTTTTTCTACCATGTATATTTGTATATATGTATGTATATATATGTGTGTATATGTATGTATGTATATGTGTGTGTATATGTATGTATGTATATGTGTCTTTATGTATGTATGTAGTATTGTATATGTATGTATGTATGTGTCTTTATGTAATGTATGTTATTGGTATATGTATGTATGTATATGTGTCTTTATGTATGTGTATATGTGTATATGTATGTATGTAATATGTGTCTTTATGTATGGATATATGTGTATATGTATGTATGTATATGTGTTTTATGTATGTATGTGTATGTATATATGTGTCTTTATGTATGGATGTATATGTGTATATGTATGTATGTATATGTGTCTTTATGTATGGATGTATATGTGTATATGTATGTATGTATATGTGTCTTTATGTATGTATATGTGTATATGTATGTATGTAATATGTGTCTTTATGTATATGTATATGTGTATATGTATGTATGTATGTATGTGTCATGTGATTATATGTGTATATGTATGTATGTATATGTGTCCTTTATGTATGTATGTATATGTATGTCTTTATGTATGTATATGATGTATGGATGTATATGTATATGTATGTATGTATATGTGTCTTTATGTCTTTATTGATATATGTGTATATATGTGTATGTATGTATATGTGTATATGTATGTATGTATATGTGTCTTTATGTATGGATGTATATGTGTATATGTATGTATGTATATGTGTCTTTATGTATGGATGTATATGTGTATATGTTTACGAGTGAAGCGTCAGGATGTTAGGGTGGTCAGCCCAACGGACCACTCGCAGACCACCTCGGGAACGCGGACGCTCGCCCTCTGCACGACGAGGCGAGCGCGGACCTACTCAGCAACGCCGTTACTATTCGTTGATAAAGACCCTTGGCGCCGTTGCTATTCTTTGACATATCTTTAAAGGAAGAATAAAATCTTTGGGATTTTATTTTTATTTTTTTTCCACTTTTTTTTAGGTTTTATCATCTTTACTTTTATCTTGTGAAGAATTCCTTCCTCTTTAGACAATAATAATGTTGAGTATGTTATAATCATTAATGCCAATAATGATGATATTCATCACACACAAATAGGATGAATTATAATATTAATAAAGACTATGACGATGATAATAATAATTATAATACTATAAAGCATGAAATCCTCGATTTCAGGAAATGTATAATATATATATATATATATATAATATATATATATATATATATATATATATATATATATATATATATATATATATATAAATATATATATATATTATTATTATATATATATATATATATATATATACATATATATAATTCCGAGTGCAAACAAAGTAAATCACTTAGCTGCTGATTCGTTTTCTCGCCAACTACATCTTACAACTATTTTTGAAACCAGGAAAATGAAAATATATATTTATACACACACTCAATAGCATATTCACTCACATTAGCCAAATAATGTGGAAAAAAGCAACTGAGCCGAAAGCGAAACGCGACTTGCAGCGAGGGACGCACTTCGCTCTCTTTCCCTCGCTCTCGGAGTCCCTCGGTCGGTCCCTCTTAAATCAAGGTTGAGGCGCGGCGAAATCGTTAAAAAGATGGTGAAAAGGTTATGTGTAGACTCCCTCATTACGGCATGGATGAAAGAAACCTCACATGGAATTCATGCGTGGTAAATAATGAACCAGGAAGTCATGGCGGAGTACAGGAACAAGAAAATAGAGCGTAATATCAATCAGTTATTCTATCCATATTTAGTGTCGTGCGCGCCTAGTTGAAACAAGCGAAGGGCGACATGCGCACGCGGGACCTACTTTAAAGGAAACTATTTGCACTTTGACCTAATTATTCCGGGAGTACAGAATATAGTATAGTCTAAAACCCTAAAAAAATGAAAGAATACTTGATTATTCTTTTTTCATGTACTTCCTTTTCTTTCTCAATTTTGGAGAAAAAAATGTGGATTTGTTTTTTCGTTGCTGTTTGAGAGAGAGAGAGAGAGAGGGGAGGAGAAAGAAAGAAAGTAAGGAAGAGAGAGAGAGAGAGAGTATTGTTCACCAAATGCTCTAGTTACATGATTCAAAACCTATTTGCTTTTCTCTTTTCGTATAGACAACCATAATAGCTTTGCCACTGTAGACTATGCTGGCCTAATGATTATGAAGATGATGATGATAGTGATAGTGATGATTATGATCGCGTTGACGACGAAGACGGTCATAACACAAACAATAAGGATGGTGGCATCAAGAACGTGTCATTATAGCGACGAAATAGAAAAATGCCTTTTGATTCTCAAGCCATCGCTATTCTTAAAAATGAATACACTGACAAAGATTATCAAGCTACGGCATTTGATGATATTACCAGCAAAGCCATTACAGACGACGACACGGACAAAAAAAAAAAAACATAAACAAACAAACACAACGCACCACCAACACCACCTCCACCTCCATCATACCTCTTTAAAAACGAAGGAAAAAAAAAAAAAGAGAAAAGTTTAGCTCCAAAATAAAGGGTTAATTTTGCAGCGTCTTGCGTGTGGAGAGAAGCTGGTATTATTTCCTAATTGACTCGAAATAACTTGCTGCCTCGCTGGTATCCCCAATGAATTACGGGGCGCGGGAATTACATGGATTAACGGGGAAGAATGTGTGTTTGTATATTGGTGATCATGGGGGTGGTGGGGGTGGGGTGGGGGTGGTGGTGGTGGGGTGGTGAGGATGGTGGTGGTGGTGTTAGTGGGGTGGTGGTGTGGTGGTGGGATGGTGGGTGGTGGTGATGGTGTTGGTGGGGGGGTGAGGGTGGGGTGGTGTTGGTGGGTGGTGAGGT